TATATGTAGAAGCCATGAAGATACTTTAAACCATCTTTTCTTTCAGTGCAATTATTCATATAATGTTTGGTCTTATTTCATGGGAGTTTTCGGAATTACTATTCCTAATATTCAATGTACCATCAAGCAGGTGTTAATGCTTTGGTGGTTGAAATCTGGTAACACGAAACTTGAGGATACCTTTATGCGTAATATGCCAGGAATAGTATGTTGGACTATTTGGAAAACCTATACCAATAATATTTGGGGTGATGGAGTACTTTCAACTAATCCACAGGCTATTATTAAGCAGATTAAGTATTATACTCAGCAGTGGGTTTTCTCGCTTAAAACTCCTAAATGCTGAGATCTCCTATATGAAGAAGACCTCATTCCCAAAGGGTTTCATCTTCGAGGTAGGAGATTTCAGATTGTTAGATGGAATAAGCCAAAAGCAGGGTTAAAGATTAATACCGATGCAGCTTTTGATTCGGATATGGCGCTGGGTGGGGCGATTGTTCGCGATGGTGCTGGAAAGATGGTGGCTGTTCTTCACTTCCCGATTCTTGCCTCTTCACCGCTCGAAGCTGAGTTGAGGGCGATGTTGTTCTCGATCCAGTGGGCTACTCGAGCTGGATTGGATAATTACAGATGGAATCCGATTGCCTAGCGGCTATTCCGATTTTGAAAGGGGAGGAAGCTCCAAGGTGGAAGAAGAAAATTCAGGAAACTATACTTGCTTTAGGAAGTGTTTGCAACTGCTTAAAAAAAAGCACTTCTCAGCTTTTGGCTTTAAAAAGCACTTATTTACCAAACACTACCAATTTTTACTTTTTCTCGGCTTGCGTGTGAAAAATGTTTTTCCTTTTCTCTTACACAAAAAGAACTTATTTTACCAAACACTACCAACTTTTACTTTTCAAAATCACTTTTTTCTCAAACACTATCAACTTTTACTACCAATCACTTTTTCCTTACTTCTCCAAAAGTGCTTTTTTTAAGCAGAAGCAGTTGCAAACACTCCCTTAGGCAATAAGATGGTTTCATTCGGACATGTCAAGCGTGAGAGCAATTGGGTTGCACATTACTTAGCGAAAGATGTTGTGACCCAACTGAAGATTTACTCTGGTCCAAAAGACGGGCTTATTATATGGATTTTTATGGGCTTCCTTCAATTAGATTTTTGGCCTGATGTACTCAAATTGGGTAAGGTTTGGTCCCCCCAATTTCTTTTTAAATTTTCTTGTGTTTACTTTTTTAATCTGTTTTTTGAGAGGGTATGCCCTCTCTTTTGTAACCTTTTCAGATTTTAATAAAATACTGGCAAATGTTCCCCGGCGTTTGCCCCACTGATTTTGGTGGTTTGCCTACCGGGATTAAAATAATATATATATATATATATATATATATATATATATATATATATATATAACATTACCTCCGTCCCAGTGGACTTCGCCAAGTGCAAAGTATGTGAAAAATAAGAATAGTAAAAATTGTGTGGTTGAGATTTGTGCAGAGAAGAGAGAAATGTGTAGAACCACATATTAGTTGCTTTAATAGGAAAGTGACAAAATTTTTTGGCGCAACCAAAAAGGGAAAGTTGACAAAGTCTAATGGGACGGAGAGAGTATATAAATACAAAAATTAAAATCAATGCCCAAAGTTTGCCATCATTGACTAAGAAAAGTAAATATGGCAAACATTTCAAGGACAGATGTTCTATTTTACTAATAAAATCAAGAAAATATATATGAAAATATTTAAAATGATCTTCAATAGTGAATTCAGCCGATTCGGCTTGAAAAGTAAGTAAAATATTACGGAGTATGTTTTTTTTTTTTGAGGCTATCAAACGGGTTGTTAATTTCTTTTAGTTATCAAAAAAGTATCTTTAGTTTCGATATATCAAAAAAAAAATCAAAAAAGTATCTGTCCAATATATTGCTACATTTTAAGGATATTATTTCATTTTATTGATAGACAAGTTCAATATTATCATGGTTAGATTTGTTTGGCCCGACTTATGACCCATGCACTTGACAAATGACAACACATAGAAAACGTGTCACATTATCTATAAAAAAGGGGAAGGAGCAAATTAGCCACTATGGTAGGAGTAGAAGTACAAATAAGACACTAAGGGCCTGTTTACTAACAGAGATATTTTCCAGTTTTCCAGTTTTCTGGAAAACTGTAAAACAGAAAACAGGAAACGTGTTTACCAAAGAAATTCCTGGAAAACTGGAGAAAGGAAAAAAGAAAAACGCGTTTACCAAATCGTTTTCCAAAACGGAAAAAATGAAACATGTCTCTCTTTTCCTTAATGATTTGGAGAAGTGACTTTTACTAGTTTTCCAAATTTGGAAAACGCAGATGCTACAGTGCCGTTGCAATGAATTTGCATACATACACCTAGTGGTGGGTCCAGTCCCGCTCCGATGTCGATTCCATTCCGGTACCTCCATCCTCGTACCTTACCCCTTACCCCTACCCTACCTTACCCACCCAATCCCACCCCGCATACCCATTTTTCCCTATAATGACCCTACCCCACCCCCTACCACATGCCCCTACCTCGGCCCCACCATGATCCACCCTACCGCCACCCCCCTACCACCTCGACCCCACCCCGACCCACCCTACCCTACCCCCACCCGTATATTACCCCTTACCACATGCGCCTACCTCGCCCCCACCCCACCGCCATCCTACCCCCACCCTCGTACCGCCATCCTACCAGCACCCTTCCGCCTAGAGGTGGACTCGGGCCGGGTGGCCCGACCCGGAACCGGCCCGGCCCGGCACTATTCCGGGCCCCCCATTCCTGAACCGGAGGCCCGACCCGGGCCCGAACCGGCTCGAGTCCACCCATACTTCCGCCATCCTACCCCCACCCTACCCTTCCCCTACCTCGGCCCCACACAGATCCCGGGCCCACCCTACCGCCATCCTATCCCACTACCCCTACCTTACTCCAACCCTACCCACTATCCCCACCCTTACCGCCATCCTACCCCCACCCCTTCCCTACCTCGGCCCCACCCCGGTCCCGGCCCCACCCTACCGCCATCCTATCCCAACTCCATACTCTATCTCTACCTTACCCCAAACCCTACCCACTACCCCACCCTTACCCCTAACCACGACCCTAACCCACCCACTACCCCCACCCAACCCCCTACCCCTAGACCTTACCACCCCACCCCGACCATACCCCTTACCCCACCCCCCACCCATAATTTCCCTACCCCGACCTCTACGAGTAGGTATGGATGGGTATGAAGGGTTGTGGGGGAGTATGGGTAGAGTGCAAGATCGTGGTAAGGGTAGGGGTCAAGGGTGTGGAATTGGAGATCTGGGTAAAACAATTGATGAACATGTTTTTAGATTTGAAAATGGAAAACTAAAAAATAGAAACAGAAAATTGGAGATAGAAAAACTGAAAAATAAAAACAGAAAATTGGAGAACGAAAAACAGAAGTAGAGAACAGGAAAATATCTCTGTTAGTAAACAGGCCCTAAGCTTTTTTTAGGTGCAAATAACATTAACTTGAAAACATTTCATAATTGCAGTATATGTTGATGACTTAAACATTATTGGAACTCTCGATGAAATTGAAAATACTGCAAATTATCTTATGAAAGAATTTGAAATGAAAGATCTCGGGAGAACCAAATTTTGTCTCGGACTTCAAATTGATCATTTGAAGAATGGAATTTTCATCCACCAATCCAATTACACCGAGAAAGTGTTGAAGAGATTCTATATGGACAAAGCTCATCCTTTGACTTCACCAATGGTCATTCGATCTCTCAACATACACGATGGTCCATTCCGTCCCCGAGAAGACGACGAAGAAATACTCGGTCCTGAAGTATCATATCTGAGTGCTATCGGAGCTCTAATGTATTTAGCCAATAATACTAGACCAGATATCGCATTTTCTGTAAATTTATTAGCTAGGTACAGCTCATGTCCAACAAGGCATCATTGGAACGTGATCAAGCACATATTCTGTTATCTCCGTGGTATAACTGATCTCGGCCTATTCTACCACAAAGATGAAAAGGCCGCTTTAATCAGATATGCAGACGCTGGATATTTATCTGATCCTCAAAAGGCGAAATCACAAACCGGGTACGTCGTTACTTATGGTAACACCGCAATCTCGTGGAGATCTATGAAACAGACGTTGACAGCGGAAGAGAATGCGCGTGGCTGCGATCAATGATTCAACACATCCAAAATGAATGCGGTATGAAGCCTATTACTCTTTACCCTACTGTGATCTACGAAGTAACAGTGCGTGCATAGCTCAAATTAAAGAAGGCTACATCAAAGGAGATAGAACGAAGCACATATCACCAAAATTCTTCTGTACTCACGACCTTGAGAAAGAAGGAACAATCAACATTCAACAAATCCAATCTAGCGAAAATCAAGCTGATCTTTTCACCAAATCATTACCCCCGAAGAAGTTCACAGAACTTGTACAGAAAATCGGCATGCGCCGTCTTCAAAATTTATGTTAATTTCAGGGGGAGTATTTGAATGCACTGCACTCTTTTTCCTTCATCAGGTTTTTATCCCACTGGGTTTTTCCTGATAAGGTTTTTAACGAGACAGTACATCCAAATACAATGACATTATATGTCGTAATTTTTACCCCTTAATTTTCACACTCATTTTCACAATAAGATAACAAATACATATTCAAGGATGAACATTCAAGGGGAGTGTTGTAAAACCATCAAATTGACAAGTGTGAATTATTCATCCTCGTCACTAGGACACCAAGATGTTCCTGATCCTTATAACCTAGTTAGAATAGGTGACTCAATTTGTTATTGCCACCAAATCTGTAGACTCATCATTTAGGTGACTAATCATCAAGCTCAAACACTATAAATATGAGCTTGATGAAGCCTTGTAAATTAATTCAGAAACTCAAAAATTTCAGAGATTAAGAAGAAGTTATTTAGAGCTTATTTATAATGTATCTATCTCTTTAATCTGTTCTTCATCTTCTTCATTACACAACATGGAGTATTTTGTTAAAAAAAAACATTGAACAAAATAGTGACGCTCGTTAAAATGTGATACCCCCACAAACAGGCAACAGCACGTGGAAAAAGCAAATGGAGGAATTCTGGAAAGTCATTACTCTCTCCTCGCCTTTCCCCCCTCCCCCAGCAAACGCCGTCGGCTTCCGTACTACAACCCTCCAGGAATTTCTACCTCTCTCGACGGAGTACGGCGGCGGGGCCAGTAATTGTCATCCGGCGACTGACCTGTTCGTGACCAGTAACGCCCCGGCGTTTGTTTCGTCAGATGCCGTCAACTGTGCTGCAATTCCTCTTCCCAGTCGTCGGCTTCATCCCGTCTCAAGAAAACGAGGAGGAGCTGGAAGCGACGCCGACCGCCGCTACGAACAACGGCTGATTAAGAATAGAGAGTCTGCCGAACGTTCTCGTGCCAAAAAACAGGTCAAACTCCTTCTTTTTTTAGCTTCTTGAGATTGAGTAAGAAATCCCTCTTCTTCTTTTTTTTTAATTTTATGTGCATCCGTAATAGATTTACAATATTGCATTGGATGTAGATCCCCGATTCTGCTAGCTAATAAAGAATAATGGAAGTGGTATGCAACTTTTTCCCCAAAAAAAGTATACTGATTTGCTCGCTACCATTTATGAGGTAAACTCATACAGGAGTATAAGTGGGAATGGTTATTTTTTGAAAGGGATTGAACATCAATTATATTTTGTCAGATAGCTGGTTGAACACACACATATATATATGTACATATAGAGAAAAAGTTCAGGTCCAGAAATGCGTATATTTTGTGGACATATTCTAGTTTGTCAACAAAAAAATTCAAACTAAACAAAAACTGTGTTTTTATAGTTATTAATTTTTTTGTGGATAAACTAGACTTGGAAAACATTGATTTTGGTGAAGAAGGTCAGATTAGTCTATATAGTTGAGTTGGGTGGTTGGTAAGGGGATTCAATTCAAGCTAGCTTTAATGTGACGCGAAAATAAATAAATAAATAAATGCGCACGGACGGACAGGCTTACCGAGAGGAGCTGGAGATAAAGGTGGAACATCTGAAGAAAGAGAACGCGGAGCTCAAAAGACAGAAGCAGGTAATTCATTGATTAATTGAATTTGTGGTGGAAAATATTATTATACGGAGTATCTGAAATGAATAGAATTGATTATGATACGGTGTTGCAGCTGAATGTTGTTAGGGTTCCCCCGGTTGTGCCGCCCCAAAAGAAGAAGCTCTCCAGAAGTTTGACACTTTGACAGCACCGGCCATATTTGGGACCTGCTCATCCATCCATCCATCTATCATTTTGTTTTTTTTGACAAGCCATAATTTTTTTGTTGGAAGAAAACTCAACTCAAACGATAATTATTGTGAGGTCAAATCAACCCATTAGGTAGGTAGCTTAGCTAGGAGAAGTGTACTAACTGAGTTGGGCTTTTGCGCGCACCCAATGAATGTATATTCATCTTTCACTTTCTCTGTAGCAGCACATCCATCATCTTTTTTGCTCCCAAATCAATGCACTTCTTCAATGTGGTTATGAATACGTACAGTGTGTATAGTACATGCAAGCTGTTTGGTGCGGTGCGTGGGCCCAGTGGCGTATCCAGGAATTGTTGTGAACGGGGGCAAATTTACATTACATATTCTCTCGATTATGTCATGTCAAACAATTGAATACAATTTTTTTTGTGAAGTTAGTTATAAAAAATAAAATATTTGTTCAACAAAAAACATGAAACATACTTAACAATTTTCAGAAATAAATTATATGAGCTGAATAATGGATGAATATTGTGTATATTTAGTGTTATTGTAAATTCGAATGCACAACTATATCTAAAAAACTGTTTATATTTAGTGCAAAAAAGTAATTGCAAAATTTTATAAATTATGCTACCTTCATCCTCTTTTGGTTGCAAAGTTGATGATTTTGCCCTATTCACATATATTCTACGACTATATATTATTATTAATATAGTACAATTTCAAATTTTGAAAAATATTTTAATTTCTCTCACTTTAGATTATCAAAAACTGAATTTTTAATTTTTTTAATGATAGAACTTGTACATCGATAAACTTATAAAGTGGATTGTTATAATTAAATTAAAATAAAAAAGAATAAAGGAAGTATGAGAAACGTATGGTGTACTTTAACCTTTTAAAGGAGAATATGAGAGAAAGATGATAAAAAGCAGAAGGAAAAAAATGTTAATGCAGGGGGTCAAACACCCGACCTCAGGATGAATACAACCGCCGAAATCAGGCTCCCCCATTAAGCCAACGTAACCTTTGTAACACTTAACGTAATTATTGTATATAATACTCTATTACACATATAAATATAAATATTATTTTATGTTAAATATATATAGGGTTTGGGTGGGGGTTGAGAGGGGGCAGCTGCCCCCACTGCCCCCATAGTAAATCTGCCACTGCGTGGGCCGATGGGTCACTACTTTCCTTTCCGTCCTTTTTTTGTGACTAAGAGTAATTAAATGATGGTTCAATCGAGAGAATCTTATGTCAAACGCAGCAACCAACCATAGAACCTGCAGCTTTTGTTGTTCCAAAAAAGGTTGAATCGCCAACCCCAAACGCCCTCAAGCCCCGACCCGTCAGGACTTTTGAGAGGATATAATTCACGGTGACTTAGTCAGCAGAGTGGCAGTGGGCCTATACTCCCGTGCGTACCAGAGGCCCAGCCTTATTTCAGATTCTGTGACCTCCACCCGGTCGATGCAGGGATTCGAACCTTGGTCATTGTTCCAAATTTCCCACCACCCGACCAATTGAGCTACCCGTGCGGATTCCTACAGCTTTTGTTAAATCGTGGGTTACGCAATTCACTAATCGTCTCACATGTACAAATTTTATGTCATGTATAGAAGCTGATTTTTCTCTAATATGGTTAGCAATCATTAAATAATTGTATGAGTAATTACTCTAAAATGATATAAAAAAATATGGTTAGCAATCATATGAATGAAGAGTCTTTTGGTCCTTCTCAAATAACCTAAACGAGCTTAATATTGGATTCCACATCAATATTAGTCTATCCCGCTTATTTAATCCCGTTGATAGTCTCCCTCAAAATAGCGGCTCAGCCTCCCTTGGAAGTATGCATGGACCCGGGCCGGGTCGGGGCGGGCCTAGGCCCAGTCGGGCTTTTGAGAAATGGGGGAAGGCCCGGAACCTGCCCGGGTTGCCACCGGGTACGGGCCGGGCCTCGGGCTACTTAGTTGACTTTTTTTGGCTTTTCTACTTAACCCCGATCCCCCCCAGCCCCCCAAAACACACTGCCCCAACCCAAAATAAATGAAATATAATTGAAAAAAAAGCTCGGAATCGGGCCCGACCCGGCCGGTTCGTCTTTTGGGTGACCCGAGCCCGCACCGTATAGCCCCCGGGCCGGGCTTACCCATACCGGTCCCTGACCGGGCCACCGGTTCGAGCCGGTTCCAAATAGTGTCGGGTCGGTTCCGGGTCGGGCCACCTGGCCCGAGTTCATGCCTACTTGAAAGTCACTAGCCAATTCCATTATTGGCTCCTCTGGTTAGAAAAGTTTGTGTTCCATTCCACGCCAAACCCACACATCCCGTCCCCTTCCTAACTGAAGTATCTGTACTAACCTTTATTCTTCCAGCCTTAAGACCCTCCCAGTTGTTGAAATCCTGCAATGGGAAAACCGAACTGCTCTCTGGTTTGTGGACTCTTCTCCAACCTACCAGGAATCCCAAAGTTGTTGCAATAATCCTTTCCGTCTTATTACTCCCATTGCATGTCGTTGGATTATTTCTAATTAATGTGGCCATAGGATTAATATTAACATGTGTTCTATATTTATGTAATATATATATAATTATGTATTATATATATGTACTATTTGAAAGCTCTCCAGCCTAGCTGGTTGCGAGGTTACCGTTCCTAGTGGGAGATCTCGAGTTTGAATCCCGCTAGGCACACAAGGGTTTGAAACTCAATGGAGTGAGTTTCAGCCCTTATTACTCCAGGCTCCCCCCAGACCCCCCCCCCCCCCCCCCCCCCCCCCCCCCCCCGAGTAAAAACAAATATGTACTATTTGATGGAAATAACATTTAAGGGATACCATTGTGGTAACACTCTTTAGGACAAGAATGAAGACTATTGAATATTCCCATTATTAATACTCCATTCTCTACCTGTTGAAAAACGTGTACAAACACCATAAAATTTAGGAGAGAAACACAACTCCCTAAATTAGCACTCCATCTATTATTGTCCTTAAAAGGGATGACACATTCATTGACTACAAGGGCAACAATGGCTTCTTCATCAACTAATCATGGTCTAAAAAAGATTGGTTTCCCATCATGTAAGTTTATCTATATGAACATGTATATGATGACATATCTAATATGTTGTGTGATGTGTAGATCTTGGTTCTCATGTATTAAAATAAAATCAACATGTGATATCAAAGCGTCCATATAACATCACACACATTATGTTATATGTTTGTATAATATTCTGCATGCAAATGAAATAACAATTAAATAATTAAGAAAAAACATAAGATTACTTGTAATCGAGCCCAACGTAAATGTTGTTTCCTTAAGACATTTTTGCCCGACACACGTAACAAGCGTCTCACAGGATAGAACGGTTCTTCGCTCCCAACGGGATTCCGGTAAACTCAAAGATGCAACAAAGGGAGAGAGAGAGAGTATGGAAGAATTGTTTTTGAATTTTTGGATTGCCAAAATAGGAGATCAATTGGCTAGGAGTTTCTAACCCAAAAGACTTCACTTAAAAAAGTTCATGACATTTCTTTTATTTAAAACAAAAGGTGGTGTCTTTTCTATTTTAGTTTTATCCGAAAATAGGAATTAAAAACGTACCAAAAAATATAATCCCAAGCCTTAGACATGTGGACTATTAAACACTAGAGTTGACCGGTCAAAGACCCGACCCGATCGGCCGAACGGCGGCGGCGGCGCGCTTGTGTGAAGAATTAATTCCACGCTTACCGTATATGGGTCTCACCGCACAACAAAACTTCGGTCCCCCAAGGGCCCAACCCAATAGCTAAGGAAAGCTTATAAAAAAGCACATCCTTAACTCTCCATTTTCGGTGTGGGACAAAGTCCTTTCCGAAATTGGTTTTTAGGCAAGTTCGAGGAACAATTTCTCATTCATTTCTAAATGGTTTTGCACACTTTATATGGTTGTGTTCACCTTCCGGAAGACTATACGTTATATCTTAGTGACCATTTTTGCCTTGAACTGTCAGCCTTAGCGTAAACCTAGACAATGAATAAAACACAGAACCCCAGGTGCATCTTTGGTTCTCATGTTTGTGTTCGTTTCGGGCTTGAACACCTCCTGATTCAGCTAGTGTTTTAGAAACTTTATCTTGTACCAGAGAATTAATTTCGTATTATAGACTCTCATAGAAGCAGTCTTCTTCCACCAGCATAGTTGATCTCTATGGAAAGTATCATGTCATACCTTACTTGAACGTATCAAGATATAAAGATCATTAAAAGTGTAACTTATCCTAAATTCTCATGGCATGAGTGTACTATATCTTTGCTAGTACTGCCCGAGCTAGTCCACAATTATGTTTTCCCTTTGAACCTAATTATGAGGCACTCTCAATAATAGGTAGGGTTTCCCCATAGACTTTTATTGTATCATTGATCATAGACCCATCGCTCTCCTTGACATCTTGACCAACTCTCTTTGTAGAGGTTTGGTTAGCGGATCCACAATATTTTCTTTTGACTTAACATAGTCAAGAAAGATGATCCCATTTTTGATTAGTTTTCTAACGGTATTATGTCTACGATGGATGTGTCTAGACTTACCGTTATAAACCGCATTCCTTGCCCTTCCAAATGTAAATATATATATCCAGAAAATAGCATAGTAGAATATATCAAAATGAATCAAAAGGAACTATCTAAAGTCTAAACTAGCATGCTAACCTAAAATAGTATCTACCGTATCCGCCTCCCCCTCACCCTTACTTCCCCTTCCAATAGCAGCTTGACTATCGCAATGAATAGATATTGGAGGGACAGGTTTTTCCCAACAAGGAAGATCTTCCAAAAACTCTCTCACCATTCAGCTTCTTCTCCAGCCTTATCTAAGGCAATGAATTCAGCTTCCATGGTAGATCTTGCAATACATGTTTGTTTGGAATATTTCCACAACACCACTTCCAAAGGTAAACACAAATTCGCTCGTTGATTTTGTGTCATTGGAATTGGATATCCAATTTGCATCAGTATAGTATATCCTTCAAGCATGGTTGGATATTTTTGAAAATGTAAATCATAATCTTTGGTATACATTAAATACCCAAGCACCCTTATAAGCGCTTTCCTGTGTTCTCTACCAGGGTTTATTGGAAACCGGCTTAGCTTATTCACAACATGAGCTATATTGGGTCGAGTTCCATTCATGACTTATGTTAAACATACTATGACCCGAGGATAGTCATCTAGTGATACGCTTTCTCCTCTGTTTTTGCTGAGGTGAACACTGGAATAAAAAAGAGCTCTCATGGGTTTGATATCATAGTTCTTGAATCTCTCAAGCATTTTCTCAATGTGGTGCGATTGAGATAATATCAACCCTTCA